TAACATATCATTAATGATAGCCGTAACATGTACAGGGTCTCAGCAGGAATTCTTAGAACTACTACTCTACGTAAGCGCGGCAGCAGCGGAGGGCCGTGTACGTCTTCCCGCCACACGCGTACGCAGCGTCTGCGCAGTCCGGATCGCGACCCGACCCGCAGAATCCGGTGACGACGTCGTCGGCGTGCGGACAGGAATGGTAGACTCCGTATCCGGCGCACTGCCAGCGACAGTCGGTCGTCGTCACGCCGCGGTGATCCTGCATGGTCGAGTGGGGAGGAGGGGAGAAAGCAGACGAACAGGGGATGAGTCTGCATTTATTATTATTATTATTATTATTATTATTATTGTTATTATTGTTGTTATCGTTGATGTTGTTACTATAATTATTATTATCATCATTATTATTATTATTATTATTATTATTATTATTATTATTATTATTATTTATCATTTCATTGTCCATTACCATCTCCATCCGCTTGAAGTCTTAAAATGATTATAGTACTTTTTTTCAAGGGACCACTCCCTACTATGCATATGTCGCTATCTAGTTTGCACATTCACGCACATGAGCTACTCATACACGTACACGCGCGCGCACACACACATACACACACACACACACACAAACACAGCACACACACACACACACACACATGCGCGCACACACACACACACACACACACACCACACAAAAAACACACACACGATGCACACACCACACACACACACCACACACACACACACACACACACACATGCACACACACATGCACACACACACACAATCACATACACACCACACACACACACAACACGCACAACACACACATCACACACACACAACACACCAACACACACACATGCACACACACACACAAAACACACACACACACACACACACAGCACACACACACACAATACACAACACACACACACACACACACACACACACACACACACACACACACACACACACTGCGTACACTATTACCTGGAAGCTTTTCGGTGCTGCAGACACGTGTATGGCCAGCATGGCGAGACACATGGCCAACAGAACAGCCGCATTAGTCTTCATACTCGTTCTATTCCTATGTGCGTGAGGAAAACAAAGACATATATAAAGGAACGTAATAGAAAAGCAAAAAAAAAAACGGAAACTATAAGAAATGCTAAAAATGTTAGATAATAATGACTACGGATAACAGATCATGCATAACATTCATCCCCTGTATTCACTTACAACAGCGTCAACAGCGTTATATTGTTTACTACTTCCATCAGCAAAACATAATAATTACTCACAGTACATTTATGACCAGAATAGGAGTATAATTGAACCGAGACACCCAAAAATTTACAACTTACCTGCACGCAAATAAGAGACTTCCCTTTGACTATAGCTATCCAAGCATATGCGCAAGAGTAGTTGTATATGCCTAAGCTGTTTTGCCCGCATGCCCACCCCCTCCAGCCAAACAGTAAATACCACGTGATCGCTCGGGAAAATCGCGTTGCAAGGACAGATGATTAAGTAGTTGTGACAAAAAAATAGACTGCCGTTACTTTTAGTCCTATATTATTCGCCCTTTTATTTCGTCCTTTATTAACGTCGATCGTACGTATATATATATATATNATAATTAAGTTGTGACAAAAAATAAACTGCCGTTACTTTTAGTCCTATATTATTCGCCCTTTTATTTCGTCCTTTATTTCGTCCTTTTATTTCGTCCTTTTCGTCGATCGTACGTATATATATATATATATATATATATTGTGTGTGTGCGCGCGCGTGTGTGCGTCCGTGCGTGCGTGTATGCGTGCGTCTGTGCGTGCATGCAAGGCGTGTGTGATAGCCGGGATCTTCCTACAGACGAGGTGCCCGGATGATCGCCAACTATATTATAGCGACAGGTGACAGTGTGTGTGCTTGTATACAGATAAGGTGCGCAAATGGCACGATTCGTGAGAGATATCCAATTGCCGACAGCTGTGGCTGCCTCTAGTTTTCGATACTGAGCTAGAAAATACGGTCCGATCTCGGCCATATGTTGTTACACTGTTTCAAGAAGGCACGTATTATTCGTAAGTCTATAATTAAAATAGTGCAGTATTAAATGTATAGATAATAGTTATAAAAGTTGCAAAATTACGTATATACAATTATATACGTATGTATATTTATATATTTTTATATGTATATATGTGTATACTTGATTTACCTATTTTTCAGCTACATCATAAATAAACATGAAGCTACAAGTCGTCTTGTTGCTGTGCCTCATTGCAACCGTCTGCGTCACATCGGCGGTGAGCGGAGATATATCTATAGAGTAATACCCCGCGTTGCGGAATTTCGTAACGTGAATCCCGATTCCCCAGTAACTCCCATTATATAATTCGAGATAGCATCCTAGAAAATAATAATTGTATATTTCTACACATACGATACCGTATTGCGAGTGTTTAATATAATGCTAACAATACCAAGGCACAAACAGACATGCACGTACATTCTACTTTGAATAAATTTACATTTAATTACAGTTTTATTTTCAAACTGAATCGATTAGATTAGCTTTAGAACACGCTTAGAGAGAAGTATGTCTGCACGCGCATGCGCGTACAAGTCCCCGTGTGATATACACCGTGTATTCGAGATAGATTCCCTTGGAAGTATTAATTAGCTGAGAAACAACTTTTTCAGCAAACAGACACGAAAAGAGTGAGCACTGAAAATTGCTACTGGAAATGCGCAGACTATGGTGTCTATCACGAATGCGACATTGAACAAGGCGAGGTAGGTTTATTAAACTGTCAACACCGAATGTGATACTTCCTATTATATATATATATATATATATATATATATATATATATATATATATATATATGAGTGATATGATATATAATGGTCACTGCATAAAAGTTGTTGCAATGTGCATATCATTAAATATTTTTTTTTAAACGTACGAGTAAATATATCTACATGTATATGCGTGACTACTAATACTAAAACATCGTATAGCATTAGCAGGTTGGACATATACCATTATTTGAATATATTTACTATACAATACTAGCCGTATAGTCTAGAAATGATGAATAAATAAATAAATATTAATATACGTATTGTATAGTTGATGTATAAAATTAAAGGTCCTGACTATATTACATCATATCATCACTGCGACTGTTCTTTTTATCCTTGATGTTGAAGGTCATGAAGGGAGTGTGTGGATCTGGGCGTGACGCGGATTGCGGACCCGATCTGATCGGCAGCGCCCCCTGTGAGCGAGGAACATACACGGCCATTCTCTGCTGTAAACTCCTGCTAGTGTAAAGTGACAGTATGCGGTGCCTGATCACGCTTTTCTCCGGCTTCTTGGTCTTTTACAATTATCGTTATCCTACAGAGCAGTGTAATCGCATTGGATAGGGTAACACTGATAGGGTAACACAAGACAGATATATGCGAAATATACGCGAATGTGCGTGAGCGTTGAGCAATAAAATCGAAAATTAGTAGACAGCGAAATACTGTTCAACGAATCAATTTTCTGCTTGTCGTCATGGGGAAGGACAATGTAATTTCACACACCATTTTGAGTAACCGTAAAGGCCTCCCTTGGCGCCACCGTCCCGAGGGAGAAGCCGTTCCTCATCCATCCATCCTCCTGCGCCTCCTCCTCCTCCTCATCATCATCATCATCATAATTTTCTTCTTCTTCTTCGTCTTCTACTTCTACACACACGCACGCACGCACGCACGCACACACACACACACACACACGCACGCACGCACGCACACACGCACGCACACACACACACACGCATAAATCCATACATAACTACTACACTATAATTACCGGTGATGCAAGACACAGACAACAATAAAACAAGAGATGTCAATGATTAACCGTCTGCATTCTATTATAGACGACCCCAATCTCCACAATCAAACAGCACAATTTTTTACAAAATCATCACATACACGTAAGTATTCCAACTTTGAGCTCACAGGTGAAGCTTCAACACAACACAAGCAACCCTAACTGATATTATCATGAACTCGTCTCTATACACATATCGTATATATTATATAGATAGTTCACAGGATCAATGTCAGCTTAAGAAAAAAATCTTCCGACGTTCTGGATAGTTGCGATCTTGAAAAAATACTATATTATATGTTAATCACAGAACGGACCTCATTTATGCAGTATAAATCGAAAGTCAGATAGATCGTAGCACACGTACAATCAACACAATCATACGGAAATATACTTTTTCTCTTTCACTCATATATAGCGCTTGCATATCATTAAGAAATTTGATAAATTATATAGTCCCTAACATACATTTAAAAATTTGGCCCCTACTCGTTATTCAACTTCCCCTAGGTCACATAACTTATGTGAGGATCAATAAAGATAATCTATGAGGATTTGATTATATAAAATTATATATATATATATATATGTACTTATATGTGTATATATATATATCGATATCTACTTCAATAACAATCACAAAAGATAAATCACTTCATACAAAACCTAAGTTTTAGACCAACTTCAATCATCAAACTATCAAAACTAAATTTTTACATTTATCTAATCTTAAACCTTATATATCACATTAACAATTAATTGGTCTTAGGAAGAAAAATACTGCATTCAAAATGCATAAAACACTTTGTCATTTGAAAGACTAGTAAAGTATCCTCTTCCTAGTGCGGGTATTTCCAACTATTTTCAATACAGCGATTCTCCAACCATGATATTGGCTCACCATTGCTAGCTTGTCACCACCACGCTCACAAAATTCACATGAACACAATTCTTACTCTTCGGACACGCGCACTTTCGCTTGTTTTTCATAATTATGCATCAAAAGCCTGAGACTTAACTCAAACTCATACACTCGAAAAGGTTAAGTAATCGGCCATATCAGAAAAATTGCTATAAAAAGGCAATGAATGCTACTATACGAGTTCGTGTTGCCATCAGAAAAGCCAGTACGTACATGTAAAACTTCACGTGATTCCTGAGTCTACCGTGATTTCTGAGTGCGAGGGTCTAGGCGCGGTAGCTGGAGTCGATGTCAATCGGCTGGTATCCGGTGTAGAGCTTCATGCGAGCGTCGCCGGCGCGCACCCGCCGCGCCATCACGACCATGAGCGCGACGAATGACAGCATCGCGATCGTGCACAACGTCACGACGGCCGTCTTACCGGCGCCACCTGCCGACGACGACGACGCCTCGACCGCCTGCAGCAGCAGCGGGCCCGACTCGACGGCGACGCTTTTCGGCTGGGCCGCGCCGATGACGGCGCCACCTGGGTTGGCCGCGTCACTGCTGGCGGCGCCCCCTGGGTTGGCTGCGCCGCTGCTGGCGGCGCCCCCTGGGTTGGCAGCGTTGCTGCTGGCGGCTTCGTTGTTGCTACGGTCGTTTTTGGCTTTGGCTTTTGATTCGAGGTCTGGACTGATGGCTGGACAATGAATGTTAGTCGTTAGTTGGAAACAATTGACATCTTTAATGGACGTGTCGACACAAACATGGGCAGGTTGCCAGACAGGAAGATAGATGGAGGTAGATGGTATTAGATAGACAGACTGGTAGACAGATTTGTAAAAATATTAATTATTATAAAAATAATTTATTATATTTTAAATACTATCAGGGGTTAATCATGACAATTTGTCATTATTAACCCCTGATATTATATCATTTATATTATATTAAAATAATTCATATTTACAAGCAATTACGACTGCATATATACGAACAAACACAAGTGGGTCCGACAATATATTTCACAACAATTACTTTCACTGAACGGCTGCTTGTAACTATCTGTAAAGCAGTCCCAGTTATATATAGAGTGCAGCATAAGTCCTACATGTACCACACTCACCCATGCTGTCGTAGGTATACCCCAAATTCCACGAAGTGCTCAAGTAATCACCGTTGGTCTCCAGGGGGAAATTAGGTACGATGTAACTACCCTTGTTGTGCCCAACATTTGCACCTTTCTCCGGGTACTGAAAGAAGTGCAGAAGCTTCATTAGGTGAATACAGTAGGTATGATCAGGTGAAATGGAACTCACCAGGTGTCTGTTGTCAGAGACAAATTTAAGCTTAACATTAGTCCTAACATTAACTCTTTTCCCATAGATCGTTGACAGAAACTTCGTACGAACGTTACGAGTTGTCCATATGCAGTGTATAGAGAGGTCCGGTCTAAGAGAACAAAGTTAACATTAAGATCAACGTTAAGACTAGTTTTTATTTCTGACGACCGGCCACGGAATCTTTCACAGATCGCCACGCGCACACAAAATATTCGGTAATCACAATTGTAGTGATATTCACTCGTCGATGACACACGAAACGACATCTGACCGCGCAACCTTTAGGTTCATGATAAATGTATTCGTCACGCGTCCTGGCACCGCTGCCGCCGCGTCTATGCCGCCACTCCGATTACATCAATCTCTGGCCACGTGACGTGGGCACAACCAAACAGCCAAGCCACCGACCGACTGTTTGACCTCTCACTGACCTCGGCCATGGAGCCGATCTTGCGCAGCCACGCCTCGTGCAGCCTGTCAACATTGGAGTGGTGGACGAAGAAGATGGGGTCGTTGGCGGACACAGGAACCTCATTCATCACGACCGTGAAGTAAATATGCACCTGTCGCCAAAAAGATACGCGTAATAATTATGTGTAAAAATTTAATCAAAATTAATATTAATATAAAAAATTTATTAAATTTATATAAATTATTTTAATTCTAATTAATATTAAAATTATATTTAATTAAGATTATAAATCGTAATCGAGTTACGAGGTGGCGTTAACTATGTGAACGCGTGCACGTGGGGAAAGACCGCAGCGCCACCTACGCAAACATGAGCGCAACATTGCAGTGAGAATATTACGCAGTCACATTATTAATAATGGCGCCCCTTAGTACCAATAGGGGGCGTTCCGGATACGAAATTCAGACCGATAGCGGATTCGGCATAAATTTGGCAAAAAAAAATTGGGGCCGAATCAAAGATACAGCGCACCCCCTAGTGGCGATACGCCGATACCACGCAATCGCGCACAGGCACCGATTTTCGCCATTTTTGGTCTAATAACGTCGCGCCGCCGGCATCGATACCAGTGTTGTAGTCGAGTCCGCACCCCCCGAGTCCGAGTCCGTTGGCCGTGGCATGGTGGCATTGTTCACAGAGACGTAGCTTGCTCTTCATGTTCAGGAAGCCCTCGAAGCTAGTTTTGCGATAGCTGGGGCAGGGTGGGCGACGTCGGCGTCGTAGGGAAGCGACATCAATAGACGTGAAGCTGGTAGGCAGAACGCTGTCCTCGTGCGTAGGTCGGCAGAAACCGCATCCCCCGCTGCTGCTTCGGCAACTCCGCAGACCGCCTGCGGGACGAAGAAGGAGTAACGTGGCTGAGGCTGGCTTTGACTACGACTTCAATGCAGTCACAATTGCCGAATTTGCAACTCAGTTTCGCATGGCTGTAGCAACCAATCAATCGCAGTGTAAACGTAAGGCAGTCTCCGCGACCAACTTGCTGGGAGGTGGGTTATTTTCGCAGTCGGACGCGTCGCGAAAATCGCGAAAAAATAAAGCCGGCACAGAAATATACGGCTTATGTACGGTAGGCTGACAAACTC